TCCCGAAGGGAGAGATGAAAGTCCTGGGGCCACACACCAGGGGCTGAGCTGACCTGGGTTTGAGATGAGATGAGCGCCGCGTGAGAAGTGAAGAGGGGACGGCAGACGCTCACAGCTGCGTTTCTCCAGGCGTCTCTGAAGTAGAGTTTTGTAGTTTTCTTTGTACAGGTCCTTTGCTTCCTTAGTTAAGTTGATTCCTAGGTACTTGATTTTCTGGGGCACAATTGCGAACGGGATTGTTTTTTTCATGCAGCTTTCCTCTCTCTCACTGTTTGAGTATAGGAAAGCCATGGAATTTTGGGTATTGGTTTTATAGCCTGCAACTTTACAAGTCTATTGTTTTTAGGAGTTTCTTGGTGGAGGTTTTAGGGTTCTCTAAGTATAGTATGATATCATCTGGGAATAGTGAGAACTTGATTTCTTCCTTTCCTACCTGAATGCCCTTAATATCTTTTTCTTGCCTAATCGCTATTGCAAGTACTTCCAGTACTATATTGAACAGCAGTGGAGAGAGTGGGCATCCTTGTCTCGTCCCTGATCTTAGAGGGAAGGCTCTCAGTTTTTCCCCATTGAGGATGATGCTTGCTGTAGGTTTGTGGTAGATGGCTTTAACTATGTTGAGGGAAGTCCCCTCTATACCCATTTTGGCGAGGATTTTCATCATAAAGGGGTGCTGGATCTTGTCAAATGCTTTCTCTGCATCTATTGATGAGATCATATGCTTTTTATCTTTTCTTTTGTTGATATAATGGATTATGTTGATTGATTTCCGAATGTCAAATCATCCTTGCATCCCTGGGATAAATCCTACGTGGTCATGGTGTATGATCTTTTTGATGAGTAGTTGGATTCTATTTGCTAGTAGTTTGTTGAGAATCTTTGCATCTGTGTTCATCAGGGATATCGGCCTGTAATTCTCTTTCTTTGCGGTATCTCTGTCTGCTTTTGGTATCAGTGTGATATTTGCTTCGTAGAAACTGTTTGGAAGTGTTTTTGATATTTCAATTTCGTGGAAAAGCTTAAAGAGGACTGGGAGTAAGTCTTCTTTAAAGATTTGGAAGAATTCACTAGTGAAGCCATCCGGGCCAGGGCTTTTGTGTTTGGGGAGACTTTTTATTACCATTTCAATTTCCTTGGTGGTGATAGGTCTGTTCAGGTATTCCAGGTCTTCTTGGTTCAGCCTTGAGAGTCTGTAAGAGTCTAGGAATTTATCCATTTTCTCGAGGTTTTGATGTTCCGTGGCATAAAGCTTCTCAAAGTACTCCCTGAGGATCCTTTGAATTTCTGTAGTTTCTGTTGTAATGACCCCCTTTTCATTTTTGATTCGGTTTATTAGGGTTTTCTCTCTCCCTTTCTTTGTGAGTTTTGCTAGAGGCTTATCGATCTTGTTAATTTTCTCGAAGAACCAGCGCTTGATTTCATTGATATTTCGGAATGTTTTTTGGGTTTCCATCTCGTTAATCTCTGCTCTGAGTTTTATTATTTCCTTCCTCCTGTTCGGGTTGTGCTCCTTTTGTTGGTCCTTCTCCAAGCTCTTAAGCTGTGAGGTTAGTTTATTTATGTGGGCTCGCTACTCCTTTCTGGGGAATGCTTGTAGAGCTATAAACTTTCCTCTTAAGATAGCTTTTGCTGTCTCCCATAAGTTTTGGTAACTCATGTCCTCATTTTCATTCGTTTCTAGGAATCTTTTGATTTCCTCTTTGATTTCCTGTCTAAGCCACTCGTTGTTCAATAGCGCACTGTTTAATTTCCAGGTGTTTGATTTAGCTTTCTGTTTTTGTGTGTAATTTACTTCTAATTTAAGCGCATTATGGTCTGAAAAGATTGTTGATACAATCTCTATATTCTTAATTTATGGAGGCATGTTTTGTGGCTCAGCATGTGGTCTATCTTGGAGAATGTTCCATGTACGCTTGAGAAGAATGTGTATTCAGTTTTTTGAGGATGAAGTGTCCTGTATATATCTACTAAGTCCCTTTCTTCCATTGTTTCCCTCAGATGAAGTATGTCCTTGCTAAGCTTGAGTCTGGTTGATCTATCAAGAGGTGACAAAGCGGTGTTGAAGTCTCCCACTAGTATTGTGTTGCTATTGATGTCTTTTTCCAAATCTATGAGTAGTTGTTTTAAGTACTTTACTGGTCTCTCATTAGTTGCATATACATTTATTATTGTAAGTTCTTCCCGTTGTACAGATCCTTTGATCAATAAGAAATGGCTTTCACTGTCTCTTATAACCTTCTTCACTCTGAAATCGATGTGGTCTGATATTAGGATGGCTACCCTAGCTTTTTATGGGAGCTGTTTGCCTGTAGGATTGTTTTCCAGCCTTTTACTCTGAGTCTGTGTTTGCTTTGATTATTGAGATGTGTTTCTTGCAGGCAGCAGAATGTTGGGTTCAATTTTCTAATCCATCCTGCCACTCTATGTCTTTTAATTGGTGCGTTTAGCCCATTGACATTGAGATTATTGTTATGGGATTTTGTCCCATTGTTCTGTTGAAATTAGGTGTATTTGAGGGGCCTGTCCTGCCTTATAGTAGTTCATTTAGTTGTACTTGTAACCATGGTTTTGAGTCTATAAACTTCCTGAGCTGTTGTTTGTCTGTGAAAGTGTGTGTTGTTCCTTCTATTATGAATGAGAGTCTTGCTGGGTAAAGTATTTTTGGAGAGGCATTTATTTCATTGAGTTTTTTCACTATGTCCCACCACTGTTTTCGGGCCATGAGGGTTTCATCAGAAAAATCAGCTGTGAATTTTAAGGATGCACCTTTGTAAGAGATTTCTTTCTTCAATCTTGCTGCTTTCAGAATTTTGTCTGTGTCTAAAGTTTTGGTCATTTTGATCAGGATGTGTCTTGGGGTATTTTTATTCGGATTTCTTTTAGCTGGTAGCCTTCGGGCCTCCTGAATGTGGTCAAAAGTTTTCTTCAACTCTGGAAACGTTGTAGCAATGATTTCTTTGACAGTTTCTTCTTCATCAAGGTTTTCTTCCTGTCCCTCTGGGACTCCAATAATTCTTATTTTACTTGTCTTGGCTTCATCACGATCTTCTCTTACCATCTGTTCCCGAACTGTGAGTCTCTCTTCCATTTCTGGTGAGTCTCTGAACTTCATCTTCGAGCTCACTGATTCTGTTCTCAGCAGCTGTTACTCTGCTGCTGAGGCCTTCCACTGAGTTTTTCAATTCGCCTACCAGGGTTTTCAGGTCGGACATTTCCGATTGCATTTTCCTCATTTCTGCCTTCAAATCCTCTTGTCTTTTATTGGCATTGCTTTCCATTGTTTCTTTTAGTTCCCTAAGCGTCCCAAGTAGCTCCCTTCTGAATTCCTTGTCAGAGAGGTTGTCTAACACTACAATACTGTTGGTGTCTTCTGGGCTAGCCTCTTCAATAAGAAAGTTTGGTGGGCTTTTGCATTGCTTTACCATTGTGACCAGTGTGGTTTAGTCCTTCACGTTCACTGTTAATATTCTGGTTGAGTGAGGAGAGAGTTCCCAGATCCGTTCAGCTTTGTTGCCAAAAGATGGGTCTCAGTTCCTGTCCGGCGCAGATCATACTGTTCCCTCTTATGGTGGGAAAGGATTTTGGATAAGGTTGGTCGATGGTAGGAACCCTTCTACCTTTCTGAGTTTGACCTTCTTCTCAATCATGCATTATTCTTTGTTTTATAACCGACATTGAGTGAAACTTTTGGAGGAGGTGCTATTTAGTACTGAGCTTATACAGCTATTTTCAAACAAGTCTTTGTTGGAAATGGAGTAGGCGAGTGGGATGTTGTTGGATTGTAGAAGAGGTGGGAAATTTTTGGTTGGTATTAGGTGACAAGTTGTGGGATGAGAGTCCTGAGTGCTCAATGTGAGTGATATAACTGCGGCCTCGTTAGTGTTAGCGGCCGCCGCAGAGGAGAAGGCCACGCCCACTTTGGGAGGCCATGCCCCCTTCGTGGTGGCCACACCCCTAGCCCGTCCCAGGCCACTCCCATCCAGGATCCTGGAATGGAGGAAGGGTGGTGGACAGTCTCCCCGCTGGGCAGCGCAGCTGGGGGGCAGGAGCGGTTCCTGGCTGGGCTCCCCCTACCCACCTGGAGGGGAGGGGCCGATGAACTGGTGGGCCGGTCCTGCAGAGCTGGACCTGGGCAGTCTCCCCGCTGGTCTTCAGGCGGGAATCGGCGGCATGGCTGGTGTTGAGTTTTTAACACAGTACAGAACAAAAGAACAATCCTGTGAAGTTCAGAGATTTAAGTAAGTTCTCATCATCTTTTCATGTAAAACTTGAGTAACTATCCCATGGCAAAAACTACTCTGGCGTTTAAGTTTCGTTACACTTTTGTAGTCTTACAGTCATCCTGCATAATTAGCTGGATATAACATACTTGTTCAATACAAATAACCACCACTTGCACTGAGTCACTGAATTTCTCGGTGCTTGGTAACACTCAGCACTAAGGCAATGGCGTGGCTTTGCATGAGGGTGACCAGCCCTCTGGATTTAGCAACTCCTGCTCTCATTTTTCCAGAATTTTGGCACTACTGATTCTGAGAAGACAGTGCAGAGGTTTTTCTGTTATACCTGTAGTTTACTGAAAATTGAAGAAAGTAAGACACATTTGTTAATAACAAAACAAAAACTGGGAGTTTAAGTTACTTTTACAGATAAATTTTGCTACAAAAGGTTTCACATGTAACTTATATAACTACATGAAAAAATACACTGCTCAGAATTCACAAAAGTAAAACATTTTACTGTCTGAAAAACAGTAGTAAGATACCTGTCTTAAATTCATTCAGAAAGACAATAAATTAATTTGGTAAATGTTCCTTATGATGACAGTGAAGGAAAAGAGGTTAAAGTAACTTAAACACGGTTAGAAAATAAGTATATGTTTTATTTGTCAAGAGTAAATTTCCATTTTATTTAGAATACAAAAATGCAAATACAAAGATGCAAAATTATATACTTATTGACAGTTAAGAAAAAGTTAGAAACTATTAAATTGTTCTGAGACTACTACTACTAAGGCACTAAATTCAAATATCTTTTGCAATTATTATTTTATATAAATTTTTAGATGTTCAGTTATTTTTTAAAGAATTAATCTTTATATTTGTATCCAAAAACTCTGAAGACAGAGTTTTAAACAAGTATGCAATTATATCAGTTTGTTATACCCAGGTTCAAAAGTACTCATCATTAGGAAAGATTTATTTACCTATATATTTAAACTTTTAAACACACTCTGATTAATGCATTAACCACAATAAGGCATACTAAAGCAAAGAAAGCCATCGTGTTATATATAATCTTATATAAAAGCTTAGCAATATTACCAATTGGATAACTATCAAGAAAGTTCTATAAAAATGTAACGAGGTTAGAATTTTAGACACTACACATTTAAAATATATTTCCCAATTTTTATGTTTATTACATATATAAAAAATATTCATTTAAAAATTTAAATGCAATCAAACAGCCTAAAATAACTGGTTTCTGCATCATGCATGGCACTGCGACTGAGCTGTGGTGTGGTCAATGCAAAGTAATAGTAACTGGAGAACAAGAAACACTCCAGAGTCACATCAAACCAGTGATTTAAAACCTTCTACCAAAAGTGAATATGTAAATGAATTATCACACACTCTGGTTTATGTATTAATCTCATAAAAGTATTTTTTCTATAAATGACATTAACTGAGGCCTTTGCCAGATACAGAGTAAGTGGTACAACAAATAAAAACAGCAAGAAATCAAAACATATGAATAACATTTTAATGACTTTTGCTTGTGATGAACTTCTGTGATCTGGAATCTTTGTTTTACATAAAACTGGGGCTGAAAAGAAAAAAAACCACATTTGATTAGTACAATGAAAAACCTAATAAGAGAATAAATATTGCTAAAATCATTAGGTTCATAAAGTTTTGCTGTTTGTGTTTTGGGGCCCCTCCCACTCCCACTCCCTCTGTGTCAGGGCTGATTACTGGCTCTGTGCTCAGGGATGGTCCTGGCAGTGCTCGGGCGATGATACGGGGTGCCAGGGATTGAATCCGGTTTGCCTGTATGTAAGGCAAGTGCCTACCTACTCTACTGTCTTTCTAGCCTGGGCTTTCCACAGATTTTTATAGGAGCAAGTATATATATATATATATATATATATATATATATATATCCTAAAATACTACAGAATACCTATCTATGGGATTTTCAAAAGAGAAAAAAATTAAAATTTTACCAATCCCATTTTCTTGAGGATGAATTTTTCTGATTTCTCATGTCCTTGGCCCTGATTCTTTGCATATACTAATAACAATTTTTAAGTACAATGTAAGTGTAAACTATATTCATATGTGGGGTAAAACTGGGAATCTAATCTTAGTTAACACTAACTTGAGATGACAAAAATAAGGTATATTTTCTTCAGCTTCATAATTCAAAGTATATTGACAAGTATTAAATTATTTTCTAATATTCAACACTAAAATAAGACACAATTATGATAAGTTCTATTTTTTTTGACAAATAATCACATGTCCACATATATCAGGCACTGCTCTGATTCTTAGTATAGCTGTATCAATAGACAATGCAAAGCTTCATTTTATTGTACAGCCCATGACAAAATGACATATATAAGTACTTTAATCTTTTCTCTACAAAATTGCAAACTCTATAGGCCAATTACAACCAACAAAATTCTGACTTCTCCATAGTGAAAGAACAGAAAGCCATCATGGGTCAAGGTTATAATTTATTAACAAAGTCATCAAATTGTTATGGAGGCCATTGCCAGCAGTGTTTAGGTTATATGGAGTATCTGGGGGACAGGGTCAAACCCAGGGTCTCATACAAGCAAGGCTTGTGCTATACCACTAGAATCATCTCTTAAATAATTTTTAACTTAAAATTACATTATTAAAAGAAAGCTGGGTTTGAAATAAGATTTTAAACCAGCAGTGTTCCTCTATTAGAAACAAAAGGACTTGAAGAGTCTGAGGCAAAAAGTTTTGAATAAACTGAGGTAAAGACCCCAAAGCAGTATTCTGAAAATAAATAAATATGGTTATCAAGAGTCAAAGAGGTAAATCGACAGGACAAGCATGCTATGTAGGGAGAAATAAAATGAAGGACAAAAAGTACATAAAAGAAAAAAAACTTATTTTCCAAAACTTTAGTAGTTTTGGTTTTAACACATACCCCAAACCTATAAGCCTTGAGATTATCATTCAAAGGCTATTCATATCTGCCCTGTTGCATGGGCCCTTTCTACCTTCCTCTGAATCTTTACGTCCACTGGTTTCAGAAGTTGACATCACAGCACAGGAGTTCGAATCGATGGCCTGGTTCCCTTATTAAAATAAAAATTCTCATAAAATCATTCATTATCCATAGAAACTAATAATAAAAAAGCAAACCTAGGAATTAGGTTTTTTAAAATCAAGTATCATTTTACATCTATTGTTCAAAAAAATATATTGTCTCCAGTTAGACATGAAACTCAACATAACTAATGAGTGGTAGGCCAGCAGTCATTAAATGCAGACCAGAGCAGCCACTAAGTGTCACCAGCCTCAAAGGTAACTGAGTCTTTTTGCTCTGTGACTTTTTCTGTAATTTTGTTTATTCATTCACTCATTGTGGCAAATGTATAGTACCTAACATATGTGAAATATTGTTCTAGATGCTGGAGAAATAGCAGTGAAAGACAAGGTCTTTGCTTTAAGAAACAGACATTTTAGATGCAGAATGCCGACAGCACTAAAGAAATAGATGGTGAGACGTGCTGTGAAGATAAATACGGCAGGGAGAGGGCGGGTGATGGAGGGAATCTGTTACCAAACAGAGTGTTGGGGATGGCTTACTTCTTTCGATCCTTATCCTTCCTCAGATTGCTGCTTGATGGTAAGTAGGTCTGACTCTGGTATATCTCAGATGTCGCTTTCTTTTTGGAGAAAGCAACTATTTCATCTTCCAAAAGTCTTCTCATTTCATCAAGCTTCATTCTCTCTTCTAAGTGAATCCTCTTAAGGTGCTCAAATTTGGCCTGTAGCTGTGAAAAAATGGTGCTATTTTTATTAGTGACAGAGTGTGGCAGTTATGTTCCTTATATCAATTGCTAAAATTCACCTAATCCTGAGGACTCCAAAGTTCGTATTTCAAAATAAATTGAGTATAAAAAGTCTCAGTATCAGGTTCTCATGTAAAACATGAATGAACAAGGCATGATTTGTATCCAATAAGTCCTTTTTAACAGGGCCAGTGAAATATTATAGTAGGTAAGATGTTTGCGTTGCAAGTGTGGCACAATCCCCACTACCATAAATAGTCCCTGAAGCATGGTCAGAAATGAGTCCTGAGCATGATGCCAGGACTAAGCCCTGCCAGGTGTCACCCCAAAACAAAAACAAACAAAAATTATCTTTTTAAAAACATGACTTTTGTTTCATTTTTATGTTCTACATTCTCCCTACAAAACTTTTTCAAATAAAAGTTTTCAAATAAAACCATGTTCAATTAAACTGAGATCCACGAATTAACAAAGTTATCAAAAAGGAAAAATATTAATTTCCAAATAAACTTATCATGTATAGTTGAATGTAATACTGGAAATAAGTACTGTTTGGAAAGCAGATTATCAACTGTTGATTTTATTCAAGAACCTTAAAAATACACCAGACCAGTCATTAAGTTTTCTTTTGGTGAGAAACTGAGAAAAAAAATTAACTGAGCAAAAAAAATACAGCTGGAGAGAAAGGACAGCAGGTAGAACATTTGCCTTGCATGTGGGCAATCCCTGGCACTCCATATGGTACCCTGAGTCCTGTGAGAAGTGATCTCTGAGCACTGTTGGGTGTTTCCCACAAACAAAAACAAAATAGAATAAAAAGTGCTAACTAGTCACCACTACTGGTAAGATTCCCCCATCGCAGTGTGGTAAACTGCCGTAGCTTGTGTTAAACACTATGCCTAAGGATATTACAAATGTTATAGTTCAATGATTCCTTTAAACTTGATTATTTATAGAAATATATGTTAGGGGCAACGTTCCTATCTTAGTAAACTAGCAGATATCTTTCAACCTGAATTCCATAGTCCAGCTCCCAGCTACAATTCTGAAAATTCCTCTTTGCCCTGTATTACAAGTCTGTTCTCTGTTCAAGATTAAAATGCTGCTGTATCTTGCTAACTGAAAATTATCTAGAATACTTTTGGAAATAAGACAGGCATAAATAATAATTATGCTAAGAAAAAATTTTTAAAAAGGAATAATTAATAGATGTGTTACCAAACAAAAATAACAATAGTGACAGTTACTGTAACTTTATTTTAGGGATAAATATGAACTTATTCCTGGTGAAGGAATATGTTATATGTGTGTCATACACAATGTCTCATTAATGCATTTAGTTAATAATGTTACTAAATATGTAGAAAAGATAACACTTAAACAGTATTTTAGGGTATTATCTCTCCTATACATTTGTTCTTAACTGGAGTTAATGCTCTCAACATTTTCTGCTAACTATATATGAAAGTACAGATTATAAAGGATTTTAATAATAAGATCCTTTAACACAGTTAAGTAAGAAGATTCTTTAACAGAGAACTAATGCTTTATACTATCAAAAACAATAATTTTATTAGCTTCTACAGAATTTCACTGAGTTAACTTTAAACTGTTAGCCACCAAGTACGAATAACCAATATCTCAATTTGTCCATAAGAGATCTACCCTTACAGTATTGATGATTTCTTTCCCTTTAAAACCATGCTAAGAAAGATTATTCTTACTCCATGAATTGGTGAATCTTAATGTTATGGGTAAATTAAATTACATTTAAAAATTAAAATAAATATATATATATATATATATATATATATAACTTCACCAAAAGTGGCCATGCTGGGACCACTCTCCACATGTCCAGACAGGCCTCATGCATGAAAGAACTGGCAGAGGAACCCAGGCATGCGGATCCCGGGACTGAGGTCTCCAAGACTACTCGGATTGGGTCTGGTCCTTCTCCAACCAGACCCCCCATTTTCCTGTAGGTAGGCATCACACCCACCAGCTGCCACCAGCACCAGGTTGGTCCCATCAATGGCCAAGACACAGAGACTATAAAACCCAGCTCCCGGAGAACAGCACAGAGTCTTCTGTCCCTGCACCTGGCTGTCCTCACTGGGGCCCCTTGGAGGGGGGGAGAGTTGAGTTTCTCCCCCCCACCCCGCCCCAAGCAGAGCCCCAGCAGCTGAGGACCTCTGGAGCCAACCATGGCCATGATGGGACCACTCTCCACATGTCCAGATGGGCCTCATGCATGAAAGAACTGGCAGAGGAACCCAGGCATGCAGGTCCCAGGTCTGAGGTCTCCAAGCCTACTCGGATTGGGACTGGGCCTTCTTCAACCAGACCCTCCATCTTCCAGTAGGTAGGCGTCACACCCACCAGCTGCTGCCAGCGCCAGGTTGGTCCCATCAACGTCAAGACGCAGAGACTATAAAACCCAGCTCCCAGAAGCTCGTGGCCACATTTGCGTTTTGTGCGACATCTTATCTTATTTATCTTTTGGAGAACCTGGCAGGCTACTCAAACTATCCTGCCCACATGGCAGAGTCCGGCAAACTTCCCGTGTCATACTCAATATGCTAAATACCAGTAACAATGATGGGCCTCATTCTCCTAATCCTGAAAGAGCATTGAAATGGCTCTTTTAAAATTTCAGGGCTAGGAAGAAGGAGACATTACTGGTGCCTGCTCGAGGGAATGACGAACAACAGGAGGATCGTGATTGTGATATATACATAGCCTTATTTTGTCCCCAGGAGAATTACTAATTTAAGCATTTTGAGGATAATTCACTGTGTAAACGTGTATGAATAGAGAGTACATTTGCTTATAATAATAAGCTTGTAAGATAAACCTGTATATATACACATTTTGTATACAATATTAATAATTAATAATATCAAAAGGAAAAAATCAATTTCCAAATAAGCTTATTATGTATAGTTGAATGTAATATTGGAAAATTATAGTTTGGAAAGCAAGTCATCAATTGCTTTAATTAATAATTAAAACTTTAAAACTGGATGCCTTTCTTTACCAGACTGAACCGAATTTTATAGTATTTACAAAGCTGGATTTTATAGTATGAAAACTGGTAATAAAGTACCTGAGAATCTTAATAAGGCAGATCAGTAAATTACTATTGCCAATGTCAATAATTAAATGCTCATATATTTAAAATTTAGAATTCCTGTTACAATCTTGGTTTTTGAGTTTAAACTTGTAGGATAACATTCGTTTGTCATTTCTCCCTAGTTGCAGGGAGCTTAGGTTTATTGGGTTACACCCATCACAGTGCTCCCATTCCTCTGTGTTTATCTTTAACCTTCTCTGTGCTCTGCTTCCCCAACCGGTCAATCACCTTTATCCCCCAGACAGACAGTTGATTTGTATTTGTAAGTGAAATACTGCCTTTCTCCTTTCCTTATGTCCTTTTGCAGAGCTTACATCAGAATAATGACCTTTTTGTATAGACACAGGAAGACAGTTAATGCTATGCTTTTGTAAGTTGGGAGTTAATTGACTCCAAATAATATTTACTTCTGAGCATCTGTTCTCTCGACTTAAGTCTCAGTTGCCCTTACTTCCTAGCATCCCAAAAGCAGGGTCCCAATGAGGGATTGGATGGACACGGCAAGCTATGAGGTCCCCTGGCATCGAAACGAGCCAGGCCAAGAGATACAATACTTAACTGTAAGTTAAGAGCATGGTAATGGACAAATTCTGTCATGATCCAAAGTGTAACAACTGGATAAGGAACCTACTAGGGTTAGGAAGGACTAATCTGGCTTGAGCACTGTAGTCTGGGATCTGTAGTGAGATGTCCCCAGGAGGGCCACACTATAAGCTTAATGTATCTCTTACTGCATCCATACAAAATGGCTAATATTAGGAAGTAGAATTAAGATGAATGTTTACATGTTTATTGGACTAAAGAAAGGAGAAATACACCCCTAGATGGTATTTCACCCTTGAGCCAGAGCAGGAGATCAGGAAGGGCTTTCATATGTTGATTGTGCTACCTCATCTGGGTGTAGATGCTAAATGTAGCACTGTATCACTGTCCTCCCATTGTTCATTGATTTGCTGAGTCGGCACCAGTAATGTCTCCATTGTGAGACTTCTTGTTACTGTTTTTGGCATAATGAATACATCACAGGTAGCTTGCCAGGCTTTGCCGTGTGGGCGGGATACTCTCAATAGCTTGCACAGCTCTCCGAGAGGGGTGGAGGAATTGAATCCGGGTTGGCTGTGTGCAAGGAAAACGCCCCTCTCGCTGTGCTATTGCTCCAGCCTACAACTCCTAAATGCTTGGATGTTGAAATGAGACCAAGGCAGTGAGATGGAGGGCAGAGAGACTACTGTGAGGGACAGGAGGAGACAGGAATGAGGGGCAGTGTGAGACTGGAATGGGGAGCTTAGTGAGATTGGAACAGGCGCGTGGGGGGAATGGAATAAATGGAAACTGATCAACGAACCATCCTGGCAGCCCTGTTTCCTCCTTCATGTGTCTGCTGATGCCAGCTACTGCGCTCACTCATTTGTGATCACACATAAACTGATTGTATTGTTATTTTAATAGAGGTTCTCCAAACTTATCCCAAAATTTGTCACACCTTTTCAGAAAAAAAATTGCTCAGTACTGGCGGGAAATCTACCTTCTTTAAGAGACCACACAGAAAGGGTCCCTGACAAAGCCCAAGACTCGTATCACCCCGTAGGTCATTCCAGGGCATCCTACACAGGCCCCTTCACTTTGAGAAACACTGGTTTAATGCACACACATTATACAGCAAAGCACGTGGCCATGTAACTAAGTTTACAAGATACCCACAGATCAACAGTATTTCTCTTTCAACAATATGGATGAGGTAAATTTTGAATAAACACATAAAACACTCATACATGGAGTTTTTAAAATTAAAACACAACTACAAACCACCTCCCACTGAAGAGTATAAGAATAAAAATTTATAGCA